ATCAGGTGCATTTGCATTGTCTATGGCGGCACTTGTCATTATGTAAATTCATTGTGTATTTATTTCAAGAATGACAAATATAACGTTTTATTTGGCATTTTTCTTGCATGCATCTTATTTTGAACAAGCGTTTCATTTTATTTACGTGTTAGCGCACAGAAATTCAATAGCAAATTCCTTTTGTTTTGCCGATGTTGTAATTATGATGATGTATTTATCTGTATTTAGATGTGATGTCAGTCATTGGTCAAAAAAAAGTCATTGGTGATTATTACAAATTTGGGAAGGTGAAAGTCTCTGTAATTGATTCTAGTGTTTGAAAACAGTCATAAGTATCGAAAAAATCATCAAAATCGATCGGTAACTAATTTAAGGGCTAAGGTAAAGTCACTTTAAGTGACAGTGAGTTATCATTTTAGGTTACTATACCTGAACTATGATCTCACATAGAACAGAACCTATTATTTCAGTTGTTTTAGAAATTAATAATAAAATCATATTTTTTTGATTGAATTGTGACAAAGTTGACTAATTTCAAACCCAGTGCATTAGACCCTAATCTATTGTATGGTCTAAAGGTGTTTTCCATCAAAATCCCCATTCAGTAGTCTCCAAAATCACCTTATATGTGCAAGACTTATAAATAGAACACAATAACATTGTCAAGGAATACAATAGTTTAACTACATTTTTCTAGACTTTCCATTTCATCCAACTTTTATCATATAGCAAGTGGTAAGGACTATAATATTATTGAGACACTTTGTGAGCACAAATAGAATAGACTTTCCCTGCACAGAGTACTGAACAGAACAGGAGATGATAAGCTTGTAGTGTTTGTGAGAGTGATCTACCAATGGCTGCTTGTGACTTTGAAAACTCATATCATACTCTTTATATGAACACATTTTTTATGTAATTTATGATTTGATATATGCATATTTATTAATGAAAAAAATGATATAATATCTTTAATTCTACCAGAGCTTTGACTTTTTAAAAATAAAAACCCACATCATTTTTTTCATATTTTTTTGAAATCTGTTTGTCAAGATTAGCTGTCAATGGGCAAAACTTCAAAGGAATTCAAAGAGCTTAAAACTGCATGATTATCTCAGTCCAAGTTTGTTCACCTTGTTAGACAGTAAAATCAAAGAAAACTTAAAACAAATAAGGAGTACTGTATTTATTACTATAATAATATTAAAAGCACATCTTCATTACACATAAAGCATAGAGTTTATTGCATGCAAAATCATAAGAATATGTCTTATTTTGACCATAGACTTATCTTGTCCTTTATTTTTGCAGTAAGCACATGTGCTTCTAATAGAGCAAATGATTAGGGTGGTTCTAAGCAGCTATGGGTTAACAATTATAAATATTTAATGAAATAATGACCAAATATGACGACCTAATATTTTAGTCATATACATTGTATCTTGCCAAACCACAATATTAAAGCATCGGTTGCATGTCCCTATCTGCAACAGTACTTAGTACATTACAGTTATGCATATTAAGAAAAACACATGAAACTAATCACAGGTAATCAATTATGCATGGATTTCAACCCTGAAGTAATCAGGTCTGTGGATCATCTAAAGGCACCTTAGTATGTACCTGTGTAGCACCTATAAATTGGTTAATTTATGCAAATTAGGTAATTAGTAAGCACACAATTTAACTCTAAACTGAACATGTATATGGCTTATTCCTAAGCATCTACCTGAGTATGTTTCATTGAATGAGATGAGTGGTTAAAATATTGGGGAAAGGGTTAAATATTGGCTAATTTATATGCAAATTAGGTCATTTATATACACGAATTTCAACCAAAAATTATCCTAGAGCATCTATGTACCATGTTTCATTAAAATCTGTTGAATGGTATACAAGAAAAAGTGAAAATGCTTAAAATTGCCTAATTTATATGCAAATTAGATTATTAATATGCACATATTTCAACTTAAAACTAATCAGGTCTGCGCATTATCTAATAGTATATGAGAAACAAGTGAAAATGCTTAAATTTAGTAAATTAATATGCAAATTAGGTAATTAATACACTCAGAAGTTCAGCCAAAAACTACTAGCAATCAGGTCTGAGCATTATCCCAGAGCATCTATGTACCAAGTTTCATCAAAAACCGATGTATGGTTCTTGAGATAGCAGTGGAACAGACAGACACACATATACACACACACACATACATACAGACAAACTAACTGCAAAGACTCCATTGTGTGCTTAGCACACGGGAGTCAAAAAAGAACACTGACCTGTACATAACGAGTCAAAGTCTAAGTATGGTATATGTGGCCGTGTGTTAATTTTAAGACGCAGACAATGACAGACTGGTTGTGACTTCCAATTTATAAAAGCTGTAGCATAAATGTTTTCATGAAAATTACTCTCTTCGTTTTTTTTTTTAAGCAAATCAATATATTTAATTCAATTTGATATTTGCTCCATTAAAAACTTATTTTCTTCTGTAAATCAAAGCTGTTTACATAACAGAAATTATATTGAAAAATGAAAAAATAAATTGAAAAGAAAAGAAAAAAATGCCCACTAATAACCAGATAGACAAAAGCTTAAGATACCATATGAGGCATATGCACAAGCATGAATGTGTCGCATTGGTGGTTCGCTGGTTACCGGCGTCCTTTGCGAATGGCAAGTAGGACGCAGGGGTTTTTTTCCGCCCAACTTTCAAGAGTACAAGGAAACCCTTGCTCTAGGGCCATGAGCGTAAACGCTGATGTCAGGTAACCAAGGGAAATAGAACAAGCAATGAGAAAGTGACAGACTAATCAGAATGCTGGAACCGTTACTAGGTACCGGCCTCTTGTGGCTTGGTGTGCCATGACACTTGAGGCGGGAATCAGCCAACACTAGTGGCAGACTTCTAGCACCATTGCAGATCACCAAATTACTACATTTTTTTAACAAAATTTAATGATCGACAAACACTGATTTTTTATTGAAATATATATATATATCAGATATAGAGCTGTATAAAATAACAGGGACATTATAATAAGTCTTTGATGAATAAAATAAGACAACAATTTGGTGAGCCAAATCTAAGAATCTTCAAAGGGATATTTCATTATTCCAAGAAAATTTGTTAGGGGAATACTCCGAATAGCAGTTTTCATGATCAGTTATTTTGGCACCCACTGTAAGATTTCACTGGAGTCCTAATGTCAAAGTAAATTACCAAATCACAAAAAATTTTATAGCAGCAAAAATTAAACGGTTTACAGAGATTTACTACAATGAGAAGTTCCATATAGTTTTAGTAAGCCACTTGTTTAATTGTCAACTGTACGGATAATTATTTTTGGTAACAAGCTTAAAGTCAATGACAACTTCAGGTGAATTGCTTTTCATTTAGCATTCGACAAAGATAGCAATAAACATCAACATTTTCAAATATTATTTTTCCCAAAACCATCCTAGCCCTGGCTACAGAGAATCTGTTAGGGTCAAACGAACATGCACCCCAGCCAACTATGCATCATCCCAACCATGTCTTAACGTCCTGTAGACCACAAGATCCAAACGTCTCCCGTCAGGAAAACTAATTTTATCCCAGCTGCATCAGACATGATATAACACACAACTTTTATACATACCCACCTTGAAGGAACCTCGCCTAGCTTTACAAATTGGTGTTCGTTTGGCCGACACGATCACAACATCATCGGGTCCAGACAGAGCAGCAGACGCCAGGGCACTTACATCATTTGGATGCAGAGTTGATATATTTGCCCCCACTGCTGGGGCTACGAAATGACCGGCTATGGTTCTCATTCGTTGCATTTTGTTCTCTTGAGTTTGACAGCCTGCCGTGAAACAACTAACTCTGACTAACACGAAATGTTGACGAACGTCTAAACGGGACCGGTGTGAACTTTGTGGTTGTCGGTCACGTGTTGTTTTGACCTTTGTACCATGTCATCAAACTTGCCAAAGATCTCGTCTTGTGGAGATAATATCGATGGGAATAAAGTTTAAAGTCGTTTAAAAATGACGAACGTCTGAACGGGACCGATGTGAACTTTGTGGTTGCCGGTCACGTGTTGTTTTGACCTTTGTACCATGTCATCAAACTCATTTTTCCAAAGATCTCATCTTGTGGAGATAATATTGATGGGACTAAAGTTTAGCTACAGCACTTTTACCTCCATGGCTACATAGAGCATTGTTGTGGAAACCGTGCTTCTAAATTGCAAGTTAATCGGATAACCACATACTATTATAGGTATAATTATCACGGTTACTGGTATAATGTTCATCGACCCCGCTCGTCAACGCCACTAGAGCACAGGCGCTCGGTACGTTTCTGTGATAATAAAAGAAATATACAATAGGGGTCGAGAGATCGCCCGGCCCTGTAACCATTATTATGTAGTATACTACAAACAATGTATAATGGTTACAGGGCCGGGGATATGCACAATTATTCACCTCCAAACTAATCAGGTCTCTGCATAGTCCTTGATTATCTATGTACCAAGTTTCATTGAAATGTGATGATTAGCAGTTGAAATATCAGTTGAAAAGCCGAAAATTAACTAATTATGCAAATTAGGTGTTTGAAATGCACAAATATTTGTCCCAAAACAATCGATCTCTGCATAGTCCTTGAGTATCTATGTACCATGTTTCATTGAAATGTAATGCTTACTACTTGAAATATCAAAAACTGAAAATTAATTTATTATGCAAATTAGGTAATTAATATGTACTGATATTACCCTAAAAACTACCAGGTCTGTGCAGTGTCCTATGACATCTAGATACCAAATTTCATTGAAATGTGATGGTTAGTAGTGGAGATATCAGTGGAAAAGTCGAAAATTTACTCATCATTATGCAAATTAGGTAATTAATATGCACAGATTTTTACCCAAAACTAATCAAAACCTTGCATTAGTACGAAGCATCTATGAACCAAGTTTCATCAAAATTCAATCAGTGGTTCTTTAGATATCAGTGGAAAAGTCATGGAACAGCTAAAAATGAGCTAATTATCATGCAAATTAGGTAATTAATATGCAAGGATTTCTACCAAAACCTAATCAAATCTGCGCATTGGCCCAGAGCATCCATGCACCAAGTTTCATCAAAAACCAATGCATGGTTCTTGAGATATCAGTGGAAAAGATGGACACACACATACACACACGCATACATGTACACACATACAGACACACTAACTGCAAAGACTCCCATTGTGTGCTTTGCACACAGGAGTCAAAAAAAAAATGAGAATTGTAATAGCAATCTAACTTCTAGCTTAGAATCTAGTCATTCAGAGTGCCTTTAATTCGCAGTGCACCCAAGAATTATTCCTAGATTTTTTCATGATTATAGACGGCATCTAATCTAAATAACTTTCCATATCGTATGTTAACGTAGAGAGCAGAACAGTTTAAACCGGTTTATAATCACTATGCAAAAGCAGTAACTACTAGTATTCAGGTATTTATTTTGTGACAGTGGTAGAACAAGACTTGACACATGAATGCACATACACAGACCTGCAAACACCCCCTTCTATTTGTGATCAGCACAAGCGATGAAATGTAATACCATATTTTCCCATAGTAGTGCATAAACTTATGTAAATTTCAGAGGTGTTTCTATGGTCAAAATAGGTAATATTTTAATGTTTCCCCATACAGCAAATGTGATTTTTGGTATTTAACTGTATGAATTAACATTGAGGACACATAAATATACACATTTGCCTTTTTGAATCAAATCATAAAACAAAACATGACATGTATCAGTAACCATGGGGGGCCTTGGTAGTGATAATGGTTAATGTCATGTTCAAATGTTGATTTTTGTAGTTTGTTTGAACAAAATGGCTTACAAATGTATTCTACAATGACTTGTCATTGTACCTTGTCTGAACAAAACTGTCAATACAATGTACATGTCTGAGAAATGTTTAATGAATACATGCTTGAATGTACACACACACATTGGATTAACTTTTAATATAGTTGAATTAACTTTTTATATACATGTAGTTATATAGCGATATTAACTTGATTAAAACGCGTTCCTATATAGGGTTGCATCAAACTCAATTACAATGCAATTCAACATAGAATTGCGTTTTAATTAGGTTTAATTAAATAAAAGTTGAATATTCTGTAACTTAACATAGAAATGTTTGCGAAGCTTAGGTTTAATAAAGGGGGAAAGGTAATAATAATATAAATTGAACCATACCTTCCCCCTTTACTAAACCTTCGCTACGCAAACTTGACATAAATTTGATTAAATATTAATACAAATATGAGAATAGTGAGGGACGTTACAATATAGGTCATGTCGTCACAAGTCGGTGTAAAGTTAAATTGAAGTCGTCACAACGTTGGTACCACACACGCACACACTCTGAGGGGTGAGACCAAAAATGTAAAATCCCCATTTTGGATTATGTCTGACAGGAACTAACACAAAACCAATAAGTGGGAAATAAAAATGTGCACTAATATTTAGATAATATGTTACAATTTATTATCAATTAAAAAATAAAATAAAAATAATGTTATTTACATTTGACATAAATACTGGAGCATGTCAAAGGAACCTGAGAAATACTACTATGGTGAAAACATCAGTCATCATGAAGCATTTCTTGTAACAAACAATGTATTTACCACACAGTGCATACATCACATGGCACCCATACCAAACACCATGTGTACTTCAATATACTTTGAATCATTACAAAGTTTTTTTTTGATCATATGATAAAAGTTCCAAACTAGATCTATTGAATATGACATGATGATGACACTTCAAGTACCACTGAATATGATTCAATGCAAATTGTTTGCAAACATTAACAAAAATAATATACAGAATAAATTACACACATCAGTATCAATAAAATGCTGCTGACTTAATAACATCACAAAATGAAATCACTTTAATTTATATGCATATGTATATATGAACATTAATTGAATTTACAAAACATATAGAAAAGGCACCATGACTATGCTTACTCATGTCTGTACATAGTTTATTACGAATGAACACAAATATTTGGAGAAAAGCAAATTAAAGCTGTGAATATCAGGCTCTAAACCAAACTAAATAAAAAATACCTTATACAGTATAAAACTACCGTACACAATGTACAACATATGTGAAAGTCATCAAATATTATACCGTTTATGTGAACAGGTAATTTAAGTCATTACAACTTCTTGCCTGAAGAGTCCTAGTGGTCTACAACACTTCTGCAATTTTTCCTGACTTGTATTATTCGAGAAGTCTTACTCTTGGGAAAGTAAAGCAGTTATAAACAATGTCATGTTTGAACATTTAAAGGGCATTGGGCGTCACGCTGCGCATGTGCGACATGTTACCGCCAGTAACTCTTTCGATCTTCCAATCACCTAAAAAATACCTAATTAAAGCTTGATAACGTCTCAGTTTGTACTGGTTGATCTGCACAACAGTCAAAGCACTATCTTTGTTTATATGAGACCCATATATCTCGTGCATGCGTGGCGCGACGACTACCGCCCTTTAAAGTTTGGCAAGATTGGTCAAGTACATGTACAATTACGTATAACTATCATCATAAACTATGTTTGCAAAAGTGTTTTTAAAATCGTGAATATATACACTAATAAGTCACTTTAGCAGGTAAACTAACACAGTCAACATTGACCAATCACAGATAGTGTAGAAGTTGTTGAACCAGATCCATGATTGAACAAGTTTCAATCCTACCTGGCATTGACCACCAAAAACATTCAATATTGATAAATTATCTGCGTTTCGTAGATTAGCAGATAATTGCTATCTATTCGTATGTAAATTATTCAGGTGCCATTGCATCTGTTCTGACTGGTTATTGGCTAAATAACCAGGTGCTCATGAGTATATACATGTAGTAAGAAGAGTGTTCTATTGTATTGTATTCTATTGTCTCAAACAACTCACGATGTATTTTTTCTTATTTATATGTTCTTTTTTAATATGGATGACTCCCGACATCCACCCCTAGATACATCTGACATTGTGTCGGGTACAGGTTTCCAGATGTTTTTCCCCCTTAACAGGTTTTTTATATCTAGTTTTCCTGGGCGGTCAATGTATTCGCGATGGGGATTTATCATCAATTATTCCGTGAATATTTACATATGTAAAGGGGATACTTGTAATAAACGCGTGTGGCTCCTGGGTACTGCAACCACCGCATACCGCATTTCATGCTTGTTGTTTAATTTGTACAAATAATTGGAGTTAAGTATAGATTGGATGAGTTATGCTACAGATGCAATAGGAATAGGAGATTAGATATGACTTTAAGGAACATGCATTAAAGTCTACAGGGTCGGGATAATGCATAAAATTTTTAATAAAATATCTGATGTCCTTTTAAATTACATTGTAGATGTATACTGTTCAATTAAATTTGTTTTATGTACAATATTAAAATCAGACAAACCTGTGTTAATTACTATCAAGTTTAATTTTGCGACTGTTAATTCAATGGACAAATAAATATTAATCATATAAACTAAATTATTTAAGCACCACATTCATCACACAACACATGTTTGAATTTTGTGTAAATAAATAATGTGTTCACATTTGCTGTACATGTCACACGGGACCCAAATTGAACACTGTGCAACAACGTGTTGTGCTATAACTGCCTTCACTGTAAACATCTAACATTGCAAGTCTGGATACTTTAACAACATAGCTCATAAGATTCAAAATGATGATACCAATACTGGCTACAAGTCCATATCTTAAAGCTGTACTGTCACATGTATTTTATTAGAAGCCCTTCACTTAACAGTTTAATATTCACAAGATAGAAGCTTCTGGCTAATTGTTAAAAACAACCTAGCCTAGATTTCATTCAGCATCAGATTTCATTCAGTGAATTTCCTGGAGATAGAAGGTTACCATATCACGCCATTAAATAGGTATATTGGTATACCATTGGTATAGGTTTACAATGCACACCTGCTGACTACTGATTTGTTTCTTCCAACAATTAGTCTAGGACTCCTTCCTTCGCAATATATAGCATGACTTTTTTACTAATCTTGTCACTGCATCTGAGTAGATTTTATTCAGAATATTTCAGCAATGCTGCACCTTAATTAATTTCCTCAAAATTCAAAGGCTTTCTACAAAACATTGCCAACAGTACAACTTTAACATCGAGATGATAATACTGATTATTGCATTATTAGAATAGGCATAACAATTATACATTTGCATACTGAGTATCTCTGATGAACTTTCAACCCAATGAAACAGTTGAGATATTCTTGATAGCTGTCTGTGATCCGGTACCCACTCTGGACTGCAGATTGGCTTTCTCCACCATCTTGTCAAAACCACTGT